TTCCGGCCTCTGCAGAGCAGCGTGGGCCTGGCAGCTCCGCGGGCCTGGGGAAGCAGCATCGCCCCCTTCCCCTAAAGGAAGAGGTTCATGCGGCCAGGATCCAAAGGCGCTTCAAGAAGTGGCTGCATCCGTTACCACCCGGTAACTCGGGCGGGTGGGCGGCCTTCAGGCGCACCCAGGGGGTTATTTTCAGAGCAAGATGGACAAGAAACGTGGAGAGCTCTGGGGAGCTTTGGATCCTCTATTTGTTTTCTTTCTGGGTGTTTCCATTAATACATTTTTTCTGAGGCTAAACAATAAGTATTCATGCAACCTGAATGTATGTGAAGCTTTTTTGCCCACACATTGTCAAACATTGTAGAAAAGCCACGTATTTTTAAATAAACGCGTTCTGATGAAGAATAAACCAAATACGCTTGCATCACATCACATGGGAAAGCACTAGCGACACTTGAGGTGGCACTTATAGAATACCCATGACATCACAACAGACGTATGGAAAGATCACTTTCAGATGCTGAAGTGTGGAAAACATAATGTTCGTGTGATACAAATATTGTCATACATATAGATACATCTGTACATACATACAGGTACGTACATAGATACATATGTACATAGATACATATGTTTATACACAATGATAATATGCACATTAATTTTGTTTAGAAAAATGCATACTGATAGAAATACTACTTCTTAATATGCTAAGTAAAGATCAGCATTGGCAACTTACATTTTAAAAAAATCTTGGCATTGGGAGAAATAATCAAATATAAAACATACACTTTGGCATCATTTGTAAACATGCCAGTGCGTTTGTATTTTCTTCTCTTGCTGGCAATGGAATTTCAGAAGACAGAGCAGTTACTCCCTTTATACACTCTTTGGAGAATATGATCTAGCCATGTGTGCACTGTAATAAAAACAAAAATCAAAGGTTAAATTTCAACCTTTTTAATTCTAGTAGAGATGAAACCACTCCATTATCCATTCTGGAGTGAGTGCCTGTTTGTACCTGAATTACAAGGGAGATTTTGTCTGTGCATGTGCAAAAGGCCTAATGTTTTGTTCTCTGTGGGGCCCATAGCCTTGAATTGTGAATTAACCATCTCCGTCAGACCTTTGCTTCGGCACCGCAGTTTGTGAGCTGTGGCTTTGGTGTCTCATAGTCAGCTCAGACAGAACTTGTAATTTTAGCTTCCCAGACCTTGCTGTACGATTGACTTATTTTTAAAAGAGAGCAATAAATTGTTGCAGTTACCTAAAAATGTGGTGATTGCTTATATAATGAAGCAACCACTATCCATCAGTGAGGGATAATTAGTATGATAATTAGCATTGCACTCTGTACCTCATAAACAAAGAATGAGTTACAAGTTTCAGTCCTCAAAACCGTGTTTTAATGACTGTGGCACTATCCACAGAGTGGAAAATAAAGGAAATATGGCACACAGTTCCACGACGACGTAATTACAAGCCTTACTAAAAGAGGTGTGCTGGAGAGAGGCTTGTTTAGATACCATGGGAACTCTGCTGAGTGTTTGTCACGGCTCATGACTTTATCTGCTCTAAAGGTATAACTGAACCTTTTCTGTGTCAGAAATTCAAGACTCCAATGACTTTCTTTGTTCATTGTCTAATTTTGGCAATAGCCTGCTATCACAAAAGTCTCACAAAAGCAGATTTGCTGCGACCCTGTTTATACACTGTTCCTTCCCCATCCTTTTATGCACCGCGTGGTGTTGTGGTTTTAACCCCAGCCGGCAACTGAGCACCAGGCAGCCGCTCGCTCACCCA